AGGTGATAGGGGTGAGATGAATTGTCTAAATTCATATGCATGCGAAAGTGTTAAAAAAAAAACTCTGCCTTCAAAAGCAAGGTCATCGTACATCAAGGGACAATTTTTGGAATACATGATCTACTCACCAACTCAAACTGTTTGCTCATTGGTCTTAATTCACCTAACACTAAAAGGTAACTAATGGGTCCTCTGCTTTTAGAATACTTCATTTCCTAGAAAGTTTGTATACTGACTTCTAAATTGTTGCAACGAATATATTTTATTCTTTTACTTTTCAGCTTGGATGTCCCTTCTTAATTTAGATTGACAGCATTTGTTCTTCAACTCATAAAACGAAGCATTTATTGGAAACTCCTCCTAGCTGTGGCTTTTCTGACTCTCAGGGAAACCCATTGAGTTTGGGACTGCAGGTCCTCAAACCAAATTCCTTCCTTTCTCCCTCCCTCTTCAGCTGCTCCTCTCCATTGTTGAAAACACACATAGAGCACATCTTAGAGCAGTCGTGCCCAAACAGGGACAAATTTACCTCCAGAAGACCATCTAACCAGAGGCACATGTGACTGCCACACTGAGTTTAGAGGCGTACAGAGGCCGGGTCCAGAACAATCGCTGAATGTCGTGCACTCAGAGGACAGCCTCCTCACTGGCCAGCACCAGCAAGAGTTACACAGCCCAAGATGGGCATAGTCTCAAGATTAATAAACAAACGACCAAACAAACCTTAGTTTTACGCAATTTTGTGTAGTGTTTACCTCTATACCCCTTGGCTTTATTACCAAGCTCCTTCAAAGCATTTTCCCTACAGCCCTCTCTTGACGTTTCCTCCTTCCTAATCCGCTGCAGGCAATGTTCTTCCCAAGTCACTAACCACCTCCTCGGGAGGATCTAATGACCCAGGGGTCACCCTCCGGTCCTTATTGTAGTTTGATATCTCTGTTGAATTTAAATGTCGATCATCTCCTCCTTATAATTTATCTTGACAAGTTTTCATGATCGTCACCACCACAGCCACCATCATCAATGGCCATTATCACCACCACCATCATCACCAGGCGTGAGATTCCCCTCTGTATGCTATGAATAGGTTTTATTACCATTGGTTAATAAAGAAGCTATTTCGGCCAATGGCTTAGCAGAGCAAAGCCAGGTGGGAAATCTGAAAAGAGATATAAAGAGAAAGTAGGCAGAGTCAAAGAGACACCATGTAGCTACCCCAAAAGAAAGGGAATCTTACCGGTAGGCCACAGGCTCGTGGCAATACACAGATTGATAGAAGTGGGTTAATTTAAGATGTAAGAGCTAGCTAGGAATATGCTAGCGTCACTGGCCAAACAGTGATGCAATTAATATAGCTTCTGTGTGATTATTCGGGTCTGGGCGGCCGGGAAAGGAACGAGCAGTCTCTGGTTACAATCATCGTCAGTCCCATCCTTAGTCATCACAGTTTATCATCAACATTGATCACCTTGATCACCTCCACCATCATTCCCATCATTCTCACCACTGATCAGCACCGCCATCACCATCATTACCTGCACCATAAATACCGTATATTGCACTTCATTCTGTTTTCCTTTCCATTCATTTTTTCATGTTTTCCCTGCCCAAAGAATCACTAATCTTTCTGCCTCCTTAAGGTACTTCCTATCCTAGAATTTGCCAGTAAGTTTTATAGTACAATAAGAGCAATGTCCATTTGTTCATTCCTGTGCTAATTCCCTCATGGCATAGTTCTACTTAAACAGGAGTATTTGTAGAACGAGTGAGATAATGAATGAGTGACTAAGCAATGAACAGAATAAATGCAGAAAAATATCCTGTGAGGTTCTTCCTAGCTATAGGGGATATGCCTAACACAGCATCCGTGAGATACTGACTGTATCTGTTTACTCAAAAATGCTTTTATGTCTTTTAAGATGCTGCCCTGTGCTGACACCCCTGTTTCCATGACTACCTCTCTATCTGTGCTGATGCCTCTTCTTCCTCTTGTTGTTTGCCAGGTAGGAGTGCTTGATGGCAGGCATGTTATTCACCCCCTTGCTCTCTACTCTCTTCCCAGCATGCTTTAGGGTCCCACTTGAGTGTTGCAATATCACAGGGTTCTTTGTGTCACCTTGTGTCTGTAGAACCCCTGCTATGTTATCCATGACAGGTGAAGCACCATCTAAGTCAGGTTTTGAGGCAGAAAAAAGCCTGAACACTTTCAAAAGTTATGTTTCTGGCTTGGATTTTGTTTTTCTGTTTGTTTTAATTCTTGTTTTTTTTTTTTTTTTTTTTTTTTTTTTTTTTTTTTTTTTTTTTAGAGCGCCAGAGCAACAGTGAAGAACACAGCAGTGATAAGATGTAATGTGGGTAAAATTTTCTCCCCATGCTTACAAGGGGAAAGAAACTAACAAACAACCTGAGATCCCTTCAGCTTTCCAGTTCTGAGATTTAACGATCCTACACTTATGACTAGATAATTGTGTGTGCCGTCCCTGAAGAACACCTTCATTTACTTTGTAGTGACTCCTGTCCTTGCCTCATTTCTGGGGTTCCCTGCAACCAATTCTGATTCCTACTCACTTGAGAAAGCAAAGGACCTATTGCTGCTTCTGTTTTTAAAACAGTGGTCTAAATTTACCATTATTCAAAACAAGAAAATACAATTTTAACTCAAAGTACTAAGAACTGACAGGGAACGTATGTGATATCCCACAAGGGAAAACACAGGTGTGGAAATGGTCCCATTGGCTTTGAAAACGATGCCTTCCTCCTCCTCTCTACCACTCGGCCATGTTTTCTTCTTCACTGATTTTTCTATCTACACAGTCCCCAGTGGTGGCCAACGGCCAAAAGACATCGCATACAGTGTATTTCCAAGGAAGGGTTGAAAGAAAAGTGATTTCTGACTAGAAATAGCAGTCAGAAGACAGACAAAGCCAAAGGCTCACATCCGTGTCTGTGTGCACGGGTCCGCCTGTTTGTGGCAGGCATATACACAAACCTGTGGCATCTGAGCTGTGGGGATGTCCTCAGGCATCACATGCTGTCACATCTTCCAGCTACACATGAACCCAACGAGTCATCAACAAATGAGAGACAGAGAGAGTCTGAAGATAAAACAATTTTATCTATTTATATAGACAACTTTAAAAAAAAAAAAACTTTTTTGAGAAAAATAAGCAAATACAATAAAGAAGAGTCAGTTTGCCCTCCCTGGAAATTGCAAAGCATTAGACACTTGCAATGAATTGTTTAATTAGTTAATAATATCCTGTATTTTATTCACATTTGCACACTGATCCAGCGAGTGAGGGAAAGACATTTGGAAGCTGCCTTGAACACGAACACGAGGGGAATTCCACAAAGAAGTAGAGAGGAGAAATACTTCTCTACTTCCGACCTTATCCCAAGGAACCAATAGTTGCAGTTTTTACCTCAGATTCCTATTTCTTTTCCATTTGACACTGCCCTCCACACTCACAATTTCCCACGCTAACGACTGAACACTGAGATGAAACAAGAGGTATGGAATTAATATTCTGCTTAGAGGATTTCTATATTTATCCTACGACACCATAAATTTAATTAATTAATGAATTAATCCAATTGTGACCATACGTGGTTGGATTATTGTGGACTGTGGACAAACTTTCAACCAAGAGGGAGGGACTGACGGAGGCCACCTCCAAAGCACAGTTCACAATCTTGTGCAGGTTAGACAAAGGAAATTTAGTGCTGATTTGTAGGTTAAAAAAAAAAAATCACCAAGCTCCTAGAATATTTGGAAGGCAATCTTGGCCATCTGAGCAGTTCGCATATTGCAGTTTAAGACGGATGCTGAGAATTGTCTGGCTTGCAAAATTGTCAAGGGACTAAAGGACTTAATCAACCTTCCTCATTTTTATCTACAGTCAATCTGAGCTTATTATTACCAAACCACTCAAGTGATGGCCTCTGATTGAATAGAACATTCCACAGGGAGCAAGGCAAGAGGCCTCCCCTCCTCCCTGGAGTGGCGAGCCACAGACTTTGCCATGTTCTCTCTTCACCTTCACCCTCCATAGGTAGAAACTTAAAAGCCATTTTGAACATTATCTCATTATCCCTTCACTTTTGAACCAGGAGTTGATTGCCCTTAATTTACAAGGGACACTGTTGAGAACTAAGCCAATTTCTCTGGTCACATGCAGAGCACTCGCTGCTGAGCTGAGAACCCACCGGCAGCCTTGGGGTCAGGATTCAACCCTGGCTTTAGCATTTACATAGCATAATATTACGGGTTAGGTCCCTCTCTCAGCCTTGGAAAACAGCAAGACGCCACGGACAAACAATTGTCCTTTTATGAGCACTAAAAATCCTTCTTAAACTAAGAGTGGTTGTTTCTGAAAGAGAAAGAACAGCCAGGCATTCAGATACAGCATGGTTTTATTTTATTTGTTTTTCTAGTTGGAGAGCTCTGCTGTTGACTGCTAGCCCAAATCAATCTGCATTCCTCAAAGAGACACACTAAGGTAACCCTGACTGTGGTGTTGACTTTGCTGGAGGCAATGGCCCAAAGCATTAGTAATTAAAGCCCATTTAAAATTAATTTAATTTCAGGATCTCCACGAACCCATAAAATCAGACACCACTCAAAATAAACAGCTAGAGATGCAGTTCTGAAACCAATGATCTCCAAAATGAGAAGACAGACGTGAGAAAGACGGAAAGGAGTAGGGAAGACAAGGGCGAAGCGGGAGGAAAGAGGAAGGGTCCAGCGTTAGTCTCCTGGGTCCAGCCCTTGCAACCTTCATTTTCAAAGCGGCATTGGTTCATCTATTCATTAATAATTCAAGTTGCTAAAAGACCCTTTCTCTTGCCACTTCGGATAAAGCCAAGCAGGGAAGGGCCATTTGAAAACACCTTTCTGGGTAAACACTGATTTTGTTCACATTTCTCAAAACAGATCAGAGTTCACAGTGGCTCCTGTCTTAACTTTGCAAAACATTATGCAATCGTTGTTTGTAGGGGAATATTGTCCGAACCTTACGTGGTCAAAGATGTCCACTACTGCTTGTGACAAGGGCTTTTGGGTTATCACATGTCAGGAAACTAACGGAATGGTCAAGCTCTAATTTTTAAATTGTATTTTAACAATGTTTCTTTGTTTTGGAGACAGAGGCATTCTATGTAGCCCAGGTTGGCCTCAAACTTAGAATTCTTCTGCTTCAACTTCCTGGATGCTGGATCACAGGTGTAAACCATTCTATCCAGTTAACTCGACATCTGTAAAGTAGATATTGGGAAGGAATAGAAGCACAGCTTTCTAACGGCTCAAACTTCTTAATTTTTTAAAGAAATTTCATTCATTATTACCATACTTACAACATTTACACCACTCCGTACCCCCGTCCAACTCCTCCCATGCCCTCCCAACTCCCTCTCAAATTCATGACCTCTTCTTCAATTATTGTTAAGTGTGTGTGGAGTACGGAGGTGATTTAGTGGGAGAGAGAGAGTAAGCAAACCTGCTGGGTCCTTTAATGTGGCTTGGATATGTGTGTGTTTAGGGCTGACCACTTGGGGCTAGATACCCATTAGGGGCTCATCCCTAGAGAAGACCGAGTCTCCCCCTTTGGGCAACCATTAACTGCTGTAGCTCTTCATCTAGGGGTAGGGCTTTAGAAATGCATATTTTAAATTAAGGATCAGAAGGCCTACTCATGCAGACATGAAAACTCTGTCTTCCACAGCACACAGCAGCTTAGGGGTTCAAACAAAAGAGCTAGAGATGGAATAGGCATGCAGGAAGCACGACACACGGAAATGAAGTGTTTTCTCTCTCTACCCAGCCCCTTGCAGAACACAGCTGTTTCCATCAAGCAAACAACCTAGTCCTGGACAGAAATTTGCCTCAAAAAAGTCTTAGGCTGTTTTCAGAACTCTATACTTCAAAGACATCCTCTTACCAACGGCGCTCATCACATCCCACCGGATCACGTGTAGTGGAGACAGATGTTGGTGCTAGTTCTTGGAAAGCCTCTCTTTACATCACCCCTTCTAGCAGAACAATATAAAACACCCCATTTCTTACCATTTATACGGTAGCTGGATGGTCAGACCTGGCTCAAATGACAGCAGAGAGAGCTGCTTCAGACAACTCAGCTCCCTTGTTCCTTCATCTATAAAGGGGAATAAGAAATTTCCCAGATCATTTTACTTATAACAGGGCCCAGTATTAACAACGCTCAGAAACATTCAGCATGACCTTGTAGAGACCCAGGTAGTCACAGATGGCCCTGCCATGTCCCAGCTCTACTTACTGGCAATTCACCTTAGGTTCGTGTTTCTGAGCTTCTATTTCTTCCTCTCTTTCAGAGAGATTCTGTGTTGGTTAAATAAAGACAAATGTTTGAGACTGGCTCTAACTTTCCGAGGCACAATGATCATATCCCAGTGATAGAAACTGACAAGACATTCCCAGTACATGAAAACCAGCCCATCTTGGCATCTCCCCCAACCTAGGCCAAATGTGTTTATTAATGCAATCTAAGGCTGTGTTTAAACACGTGCACTCTTTCTGCTACTCAGAACTAAGATTGTGAAAGGGGAAATACGAGCTTATCACTCCACTGGCTCTCCTCCATGCCTACAAGTCAGTAAGAGCAAAATGGACCGTCAGTGGTAGAGTTAGGTGGGGTGAGCAATTCCTTTTGTAGAAAGAACTGGTGTAATTCGCTTTCCCCTCTGCTGGTGGTCTATACACCGCAGCATCATGCCTGCTTCCCTGCCCTGTGGGGCTTGTGCCTTGAATAACCAGTGACCATGTGACCTACCTGTTTGGTTGGAAGCCTCACTCCAGCCCCCTGGCATCCATGTATACGAGGAGTCTGGAATGTTTGGCTAGGGGTCAAAGCCCACTCCTGTGGAAGTGGCCACAATCCAGATTCCACATCCAAGAAAGCCTGCCAAATGGTGGCCCCTCCCCAGGGAGGGTCAAGACCACTCCCACAGGCTATTTAAACTGCCCCCAGAGAATGAACACATGGTCTTTCCAGATCTCCACCCCGCCCCATGTTTTCCTGGGGCCCACCCGGGAGAGCGCTGGCATCCATTAAACCTGGGCTTCTTCTAATTCGGTCTGATTTGGTCTAATCTGGATTATTACATCAGCAGAGAGGTTTGTTGGTCCAGAAAAAACACTAACTACTCTCCTTTCTCCCAGATGACCCTACAATAGCCTCTGTTGTTTGTCCACACAGTTCCCGGAGAAGTAAAATTATCTGTCATCAAACTCCAGATTTCAAATTGAAAAGATGACTAAACCACCTCCCATGAAAATGATAATATATGTATATATGCATATGTATGTGTGTATATATATATGAGCATATATATACACATTCCAACAGACACCCATGTGTATATACACCAGTGTGTGGTCACATAGATTTTTTGTTCATCTATAAAGGAGGGACTTAGACTAAGTAGCCTAAAAATCATCCTTCAAGCCTTTGAATTCTGAAATTTTGTAATTGCATTTTTCTCTCTCATCATTCCATATTTTTCTTGATAAAACATACTTGTGAATTTGTGGTTTTGTTTGTTTTGTGAATGAAACAGGGCTTCTTCCAATCCAAACTGACCTTGAATTCCTGGTCCTCCAATGTCCACTTCCTGTATCCTGGGATTACAGGCAAGTGCTTCCACCACAAGCCAGGTTTGCGCCCATGGCGCTTCAAACCCCAAGGCACTGTGCACGCTAGGTGAGCACTGTGCACGCTAGGTGAGCACTCTGCCCGCTAGGTGAGCACTCTGCCCGCTAGGTGAGCACTCTGCCCGCTAGGTGAGCACTCTGCCCGCTAGGTGAGCACTGTGCACGCTAGGTGAGCACTGTGCACGCTAGGTGAGCACTCTGCCCGCTAGGTGAGCACTGTGCACGCTAGGTGAGCACTCTGCTGACTGAGCTGTGTCCCAGCCCTGCACACATTTCTTAACCTGTGTTTCAGTTGCTGTTAGTCTGCAGTTTCTGATTTACTGCTTCTCTAGCTTTGATGCGGTGAAGTCACCAGCACCACACTGTTCTTCCCCTCCTCAAATAAGGTATTCATGAGCCACTGCGCTGGGGCGGTCGGTGAGACAAAGGTCTCTGTAGGCAGCAGGGTGCATTTACCCAGCTCCAGCAGGCAGAACTTGCCAGCACACCTGGACCCAAAAAAAGGATGGGGGTTCCTTCCCTGCCTTCTCCAGCTGGGGGGGGGGGGGGGACTGCTTAGGCGCCTTTGCAAATCAAAACCTTTTCATCCGCATTTGGTGATTCGCTGTGAATGGCCCTGTCTTGGAAAAGTCTGTAATGTACTATTGTGTGAAAAGGGTAAAATTGGCCTGTCTCATTGACAACGCTCCTCTTCTCACGGCTGGGGCAAGGTTGGGGGAGGTGCCGGGCACAATAGAAAAGGCTCTTTACAAAAGGCCTCCCTCACTGTCTGCAGAGCCTGGCCAGTGTACCTGCGTGGGCCGGACTGTCTGCGCCCTGGGTGTCACCGCCCCCTGTGTTCATCACCTCTCCTCCGCAGGAGACTGGGATTTCAGCAGGCACGAAGATGGTGGTTGCTTTTTAACAAGGCAATTTTACAAAGCTTCCACACTCGAAAAAAAAAAAAAAAAACAGTGTGGGAGAGGCAAACACTCACAGGCCATGCCAAATTTACTTCTCCCCAAAGCGGAGTGAGACAAAGGAAATCGCTAGCACACCTCCCAGACACAAAGAAGATGTGTTCAGTCTCCAAATTCAAGCCCGTGAACTCAGCTCATTATCCCAGGATCTGGTCAGTAATTCTATGCAGTTGCAAACAATTCCAATGGTCCCATTCACACAATCAACTTAAAGCCCCAGGACGGCTCTACACTGGGGCCATGAACTTTTGCATAGTGTTATCATATGTAATCTCTTCAACAATCGACGCTGTTAGGTTAGTAAGAAAAAAAAATCTCAGAAGTTAAAAAGGTATATATCAACACCAAGAAAGAAATCCTGTAAGATTTGTAAGACAGAGGACAAATTGCCTTGACAGGAGCTGGCAAGGTGAGTCTGCCGTGGAGAACTTGCCTTCCAAATGTGAGGATCTCAGGTTCGATCCCCAGGTTAAAATGCCAGGCACTGGGATGCAGGTTTGCAGTTTTAGCACTGAGGAGGGAGAAACAGACTCCTGGGGCCCGAGTTAGACTAGCATAATTTGAGGGTCCTGGGTCCCAGTAAGAGACCATAACTTGAAAACCAAGATGGACATGGACAGACACACACACACACACACACACACCTTTTGCTAATGACTCCACTTGGGCCCATAACAAAACTTCAGCAGAACAGAAGCCTGGTATCTCTGCCTCATTTCACGCGTGTCCCTCTCCTTTTCTTTGGGCTGAAGACAAGGAGATGAGCCACTGTCCTTAGACTTTTCTCCCGAATTACCTTGGATTCCCGAAGTAGCAGAACCCCAAAGGACAAGCCATCCCCCAGACTGCTCGTGATGGGAAGCCCTCACCATCGGGCCAACTCTTCATTGTTGGGCTGGGTGGCTCTTCAGAATGGCTCTCTCAACCTTCTTCTGCCCTCACTTGTAACTATCAAAAATGACTTCAGATATTACTACTTGTCCCCCAAGTGAGGGTGACGACAAGTGGCTGTTGGTCCAGAACCTGATCTGGCCTTCTCCATTGGAAAAATGGTACTAACAAACACCACCAGCCTTTGGAGCCTAGTCCTCACTACCTCCAAATAGTGCCTCATCCACTGTTCTTCCCTTTAAATTGTGCGCTTTGGTAAGGTAGCATAGAAGACATTACAAACTGCTATCTCAGAGTCTCTAATTTTTTTTTATAAGTTATTTTTCTAGATAAGGTCTCAGGTAGCTCAGAATGACCTTGAACTTACTATGTAACTAGGGCTGACTTCAAACTCTGATACTCTTGTCTCAACTTCCAAATGCTGTAATTACATATGTGCACCAACATGCCAGACTCTAGATCCTTCCTCAGGGGAAAATTTCTATAGGGGAGACAATATGAAACCTCCATATCCTGAAGGGGAGTTGGTAAGAAAGATGCTGGTTTTAATTATATTTATTTGTATGTGGAGATGTGGGAAGACACCATGGGTATGTGTGCACTTCAGAGTATGTGTACCAGTCAGAGGACAACTTTTGAGGGCTGGTTCTCTCTTCCCATTGGATAGGTCCAGGGATCAGACTCAGATCATCAGGTTTGTGTAGGTTTACCTACAGAGCCATCTCGCCAGTACCAAGATGGCGTTGTTTTCAGAAATAAAGGGAGCTGGGGGCAAAGGTAGGCATCTGTAATTCCAGCACCCAATCAGAAGGTAGAGGAAGAAGAGCCATGAGTTTAAGGCTAGCCTGGTCTTCGTCACGAGACCCTGTCAGAAAGAAAGAAAAGAGAGTAAGAAATCGGGAAGAAAAAAATGAAAGAAAGGAGAAGAGGGGAGGGGAAGAAAGGGGAGGAGGGGAGAAGAGGGGGAGGGGAGGAGAGGAGAGGAGAGGAGAGGAGAAATGGCATTTTCAGAAATGCCACCCAGCTGGTCCACCTGAAGTCTAGTTTTACAGGGATTCTCTACGCTCAGTATGAGTGGGAGAATGAATTTACACAAGTCAGCCCCCATCCCACCTTGCTTAACAAGGAACCTCATCATCTTCTGACGAAATCTAAACGCAATCCTGTTCTTGTTTTAACTGGTTCTTCTGGCAAGGGTCTTTTCCAGGGCTGAAATTTCTCACGTTGGCAACAAAGCGAAGAAAAACAAACCCATTTGCCAGTTCCCCTCGTCGTCAGCTCTAATTAGAGGCAATGCTACTGCTCCTTTCACAACAACTTCAGAGGAGGTCAAGGGGATGCTCTGGGGAGGAGCAGGGATGCTACAAGAGAGAGGTTATGGGTACTGCAAGGAGAAGCCAAGAGATGCTGCAGAGAGAATAACCCTGGGCACAGTCAGGAATATTGGGGACTCTCATGGGCATGACAGATGGGATCCCAGAAAGGCAGTTAGAGAACTGTGGGGCAGCTCAAACAAACTGTTCATAACTGTGTATCCCGTCCAGTTCTGAGCTGAGCAACCACAGAACCCCATTCACCAAAACCTACCAACTGTAACTCAAAGAGCAATTAAAGAAAATGTACAGATTTCAAACAATCCCCTGGATGTCAAAATGAATTAAGGTTAGAATCTCAAAAGACTAAAATAGGAAAATACTGTTTGCAACGTAGAAGAAACAGATGAGGAAGCAAATACTATGTTTTTAAAAATCCATAATTGTGATAGATGAAATCTTAAACATTAACAGATATGGGATTGGGTGCATACATGTAACCACGGGTGAGACTTTTTTAATTGTGAAATACAAGAAGCCCTCTCTACACTCCCCCATATAATGCTGCCTGAAAGCTTTGCTAATTTCCGCATCAAAAGGCCAAGGCCAAGTGCTTTCCTGGTGAGCTT